TGTCCTATCGGTGATGCAAGTTTCAATAAGCATCCTTGCCTTGCATTAAACACAAAAAGTTTTCCGCCCTTTCGCCTGTGTTCAGTTAATTCACTTGATCGATCTCCGCTACGTCCGCCTCGGTCGATTCGCCACCCGTCGGTCGGTTTGCAAACCGCACGCCCAACTCCATCTCCTCCTCGCCTCTCGAGATGTCCCCAAAGAAGCTGGCAATGTACTTGCCCTCTGGCGCCTCCACGGCCTTGCATAGCTCTCCGTGCTTAGTGCCTCCAAACCGTTCCGACGTGCGCAGATTGGTCACAAACTGAATCGCGTGGATCTCCCGTCGGACCCGGAACAAATGCACCTTGCTGATACACTCGTCCTTCTTAAGCTCAAAGGCCTGCATCCCCGTTGTCGCCTTCTGATCCTCAGGCAGATAGCAGCCTTCTACCTTGACGACGACTCCGTCCGCCATTGCGATTCCCACGCTGAGCATCTGGAAGTTCGCTGCAACAGGCTCATGTCCCCATTTCTGCTTGGATCCCACTTTCCCTGTCGACTTGTACATGACCATCTTGGCGTCCTCGTCAAAGACAACGGAGCCGTCAATAGACACGACATCGTCGTCCTCGTTGTCCGAGTCAGTTTCCCCGATGGCGTCCTCATGAAACAGAATCTCGGGGGTCTTATCTTCCAGCAGCGCCGTGTGGATGCTGTCCCGCGGGTGTCTGTCCGCGTCCAACAGCGGCAGCCCGTCGTCATGCTTGTGCTCGTCGTGCTGCTTGTGCTCCTTCTTCGTGCTCGCCATGATAAAAGTGCTGCTCCCTTGTCAAATGTGGAAATGTGCCCAGCATGAAGCCGCCGTCTTCATCTCGTTGTGCGGATAAGAGCAGGGCATCTGTTTCAACTTCCACCCTGCCGGCGCTCTCTGGACCCATTTTTTTTGCGATTTGCCCCGCACAAAGACCCAATTTTTGCGTGGTACGAAAAGTGGAAAAGGTTTCCGACAAAATGATGCCTGAAGCCGAGGACAGTGCTCCGGTGCCGCAGGAGGAGCAGTTCACGGCGCTGTACATGGCCAAAGTGCTGGACAAGCTGCGCGAGAATGACAAAACACCGCAAGCTGCTGAGCTTGAGCTGCAGAATGGACGTGTATGTGCTATTTAGATTTTTTTCTTCTCGTCCCTTAAAATGCATAATTTAAACTGGTGGCTTCTACGGTAGAGGGAACAACACGCTTCCAATCAAGCGACCGTGGCTGAGCAGACCAAGCAAAACTTGCTGGATCGACTGGTGCAGGTGGAAGCGTTGGAGACTCTGCAGAAGGCTGCTGCGCTTAGGAAGGCGCAGGACGAGGCTGGCTACGAGCAGGAGAAGAACCAGCTGCAGTCGGCTGAGCGGGAGCGGGAAGATGTACTCCAGCTGCTTGACAGACTGGAAGACGAGGTAGAACAACAGAAGCACGAGGTGGCGGAGCACGAACGCTCGAGAGAGGAGCACGAGAGCGAACTGGCGCAGGTGAACGAAGTGTGGGAAGGAGCTTCAGAAGAGGAATGCACACCGTAAGGCTGCGGTGCAAGTGGCGACGGGAGTGATGATCACGGATGAGGAAGATTGTGCACGCGTGCTTGACCAGCAGACGCAGAGCATCCAGGAAATGCACCAGAAGCAGAAGCAGCTTGAGGTGAGTGAAGGAGGTGCAATCGATGGTTTCTTCAGGACTTGAAGTAAAAAGCTGCGTCGTTGAGGTTTGTAGGATGAGAAGATTGATATTAGTACCCACGGGAAGCGGACCAAAAGGATGATTGACAAGCTGTCCAAACAGGTGCGTAAAGAGAGCCTATTTTGGATAGTCGACTATTTTTTGGTATCAATGTTGCCTCCTTTACCAGAACGACCTGAGGAGTAAGGATGCGGAGGTCAAAAAGCACGAGCAGGAATACATGACTCTGCAGCAGATGAAGCATTGGTGCGTTTGACACCGGCAAGCAGCGACACAAACAGAGTATTATATATCTAACTGTGGTTTTTATTTTTTGCATCCAGGTACGACCACGTCAGACACATTTTGGAATCCCTGTCCGGCCTGGATATCACGAACATCGCCGAAGATTCTCTGGAAGTCCAAGTACTAAAGTCGCATTCAGTGCGACTCTTTATCGACCTTGAAACCACAAGGTTGCAGCGAGTTCAAGTGAGTGGCAACTTGTGTGGCTGGCTGTTGCATCTGTTACTGATTTAGGCTTTTTCACTTACCATATCTGACGACGCAGTTTCTCACATCTGATGTAATCGCTTCTGATCTTGTGGACGTCGCTGTGAGTGACAAAAACGTTTGTGATCTGTTGTGCAAGTATCGCGAACGTGTGCTAGCACTGTAACTTCGCTCTGAAAACATGA